GGACTGATGTTTCTTGGAGCTCTTGTGAACCTGATTTCTTACCTCTTGCCATGACTTTGTTGGAGGCTTGGGACTCACATCTTTAACCTTGCTGTACTGTTATGAAATTTGCAGAGATTTGGATAAAAGTTCAGTTCATGAAGTTGCATTCCAGAAAAGCCGTTCAAATTTTATTAATAATGAATATTCAGTGCACCTGTAGGACTTGGTTTTATTTTCTATGAATTCTTATTGGCCTCCATTTTATGTCTGACTGCTAATGTTTTACCATGGTTCATTTGTCAAACTTTGTTCAACAACTGGTTGCTGACAATTTTGTTATTACATTTTATTTCTCTGGGGGATTGTTTAACGGCTTTGTTCATTGGCCTAGCCTCCTAAGCTATTTTCTGGTTATATTGCCCTTCTATTTGTAAGGATATAAATTTGCCAAGTTGCCTCGCCTAGAAGCTCCCCTGGCATTTGTTTCCCGTTTCCCTTTGTTGGAGGGTAATTCCTTGTACATGAAGGCAGCTGGGCTATGTGGATTCTCTCACAATTATATATATCTGTTTGAATGTTTTCTGTGCTTCCCTTTGTCTCAATGTAACACTGATGTATCTTATAGGTTCAGATTTTGCAGGTGAAAGAAACCATACTTGTCTTGGTAGCCACTGGGTTTTCGATATTGTTTTTCTGGGTCCTGAATTGAGAAAATAGCTCCTGTGATTGTAGTAATTACAAGAAACAAATGTGAGTTGTTTGATCTCATCAATCTAGGTTTTATGTGGTTCAAATTAAAGTTGATAGGATAGCTGTAATTTTAGAGAGAAGTAGACCATGAGAAAAAGAGTATGTATTGATTATGGTGGGCATTCATTCATTAGGCACAACTGAGCTGGTTTGAAAAAGAGCAATCATTGCAGCTAGTAATACTTCTTTAATGGGTTTTGGTTGTTCTACTTGCCTGCTTAAGTTAGAAATTGTATTCTTTCAATAGCTATTGGGGCCTTGTTGTAGCAAATTGATGTATTGAATCTGTATAACTGAGTTTGATACTTCATATAGGTAACCTTTGATGCTAGAAACCATTTTTATTATGTAGAACCACTTGTTTGTCGGGGTTGTTTTGAGTCAGTAGGACCATTAACGGTACAAGTGTGTTTTATGGTATTTCATAGATCATTTGTTTAGACTATTAGATGGCAGAATTCCAAATTCCTTTTTTTCCCCTTTTTTTTTCTTATGCAACTTTTACTTTTTAACCCTTTCTGAACTGTTTATAATTTCCATGCCAACTATTGTTCATATATCAAACCGTGTCAAGTATTCTGCTACATAGATTTGGTTGTATGTACTTGCCGCAATTTTATTCTACTGGGGCTGAGTATAGCTCAGCTCCTTCCCCGGCTTTTAAAAGTTTAAACTTTGTTGCTGATGCTTTATAGATCTTGCTTTCTCTCTCTGTGCGTGTGTGTTATTTGTGGTTTTTAAGGATGAATTTTGGTATGGTGTGTTTATGAAAAGATGAAA